CGCGCCAGGACACAGGTTGGCGCGAGAGGGAGGTGCGGCCCCACGCGGTCCTGCCTGGCCGCAGAGGATGCTCGGACACCTCCGGGAAAGCACAGGAGAGGGGGAGCGGAGCCCCCCCTGGTGCCAAACCCCTGCGCGCTGGAGCGGGCAGAAGAAACCCGCTTCTACATCTGATTCCTTACCAATGCCGTGAAATATCCTGGCGATGGCTCTGCCCGAGAACTTCTCGTCCTGGCGGATGGAGAGGAAGTGCCGGACGTCCGAACGGATCTGGCTCTCCCAGTCACGGAGCTGCAAAGGCAACGGCCCGGGGTTTGTCCTTTCCCTCTCCTCCTTACCCAAAGCCGTAAAGGGTCGCACTCAGGCAAGAACGACCGCTGCGGTCTGCGCGCCAGGCGCTGCCTAGCCGGCCCCAGCAAGGTAAGAGGCCCCCCACGGCAGAGCTGCTCTTTGGCAGCATCGTGGGTGCGGAGATTAAAAGCTCCATCGGTCAAGCGGTGAGGAGTGCCGCGGAGGGGGTCCGGCTGCGAACCTTCCTGCCCTCCCTTTTCCTGGCGAACAGGAACAAGCCCTCTCACCGCCTGCGCTTGCCAAGCCCTGGGCAGCACCCGTTTGCCTGTCGTGGCGCAAGTGGGTCGCTTGGAAAGGGCCTTAATCATCCAAAATTGGAAAACATGCATTCGACAACGCAAGGAGAGCTGGACTGAGCAGGGAAGGGGAGAAATTGAGGTGCTGGGGGAGGGAAAATGCTCTGCTTCAGCTCAAAACCACCTCCGTAATTGTCTGTGCACCACAGAGCCCACTGACAGCCTTCTGCAGAACAATACGCAGAGCTGCCAAGCCAGTGCTTCCTCCCCTTCTCTTTCAGCCCTTGACACAGTGCGGGCAATTCCTTGCCCTGGCAGCACTGCTAAAAACAGCAGCCTCAGGTTCTCTGCAAAAGCCCGAGTGCAAATTAAACGCTTTCCGATTTTAATGCACGCACGCAGAGCACGTCGAGGTAAAGATGTGATGTGCCTCGACCACCGCTTGGTGGGGCCTCTGAGATGAGTTGCATTTGCAGAGGATTTCAAGTGCAGCCCAGTGCATCCCAGTTTCCCCAGATCCATCCGTGATCCACACAAAGGCCAAACCAGCTCCCGACAAGAGAGGGAACTGGCTCACCTTGGCACCGCTGAGGGTCTCTTCCTCCTCCTCGCTCTCGTGTCCAGGCTCAGCCTGCTCTCCAGAAGGTTTCTTCTCAAAGTAGTCCCTGAGCAAGGCCTTCAGGCGGGAGCTCCTCTCCTGCTCTGCGTGCGCGGGGTGGGGGTCGCAGGTCCCAAAAGCCACGCTGCTCCGCAAGACAAGCATCAGCCGCGCCGCAGCTCCCTCCCGCCTCGGAGGGCGCAACCGGCTGCGAGCTCCCAAACGGGCCCGGGGAAGGGAGGCTGGGCCGACGCG